CCGCGGAGTACCGAGTTCATGATCCGCTGGAACGTTGCCGCGGCGTTTTTTAGCTTGAAAGGCATGACGCGCCAAGCGAACTGCCCCTGGTGGGTCACGAACGCCGTGGCAAGCTGCGACTCACTCGCAAGGGGCACTTGCCAGTATCCCCTCCGTAGGTCGATCAATGTGACAAAGTTGGCTCTACCGACGCGCATGATTATGTCATGTGGGAACTGCATCGGGAATGCGTCCGTCGTCGTCACCGAGTTGAGTTGTCGATAGTCGACGCACAGGCGCACCGAGCCGTCCTTCTTCGCCACACACACGACGGGATGGGCGAAAGGGCTCTTGCATTCGTAGATCAGCCCCGTCTCTAGCAGTTCGTCGGTCTGCCGCTCGACCTCTCCCCTCAGCATTTCGGGTATGCGGTAGGGGTAGGCCCGCTTCGGCACGTACCCCGGGTCTAGCGCTACGCGGTGTTCTCCCACCTTTGCTATACCCGTGTTGGGCGAGAAGAGCCGGCGGTGTCTGTCGAACACCGCGCGAACGATGTGCGCGTCTCGTCCGAGGTGAGCCGTTTGATCCTCTGGAAGTTGCGCCTCTTGACACGACCTCACTTTTTGTGGGGTACATTCTATGTCCCCAAAGTCATCATCTTCCTGAAACGCTACGCCAATGCCTTGAACGCGGAAGTTGTATGGTTGTAGTTTGTTGGCGTGCACCAGCTTGCGCTTACCGTCTGGCATGTCTACGTAGTACGAATGATCTCGAAACTTTGCTCGGATACAGCACGGCCCTATCCATTTCGGGTACATCTTGCCTGGACAGGCTGAGTCGAATACCAACACTTGTTCGCTCACTTCAAACGATTTCGGGGAGGCTCGTTTGTTGTGCTGTGTCGCGTACGCGTTCTGCCGGGCTGGTGCCGTCAACGAGGCTTCCTCCGCGGCGCGCTCGATTTGGATCTTTAGTTTGCGTAAGTACTCCGCCGGTGCCTCCCTTAGTGTCACGGGTATCGGGATGTCCCCCGTCCAGGATTGCTTCAACACTGCCAACGGGCTAGTGGGGCTTCGGCCGTACAGCATCTGGAAGGGTGACACTCCGGTGGTATCATGCGGGACCTCTCGGTATGCCCACAGCAGGAACGGAACGAACCGATCCCAGCCGCGGCCCTCCGTCTCAATGATATGGAAGAGCATGTTCTTGAAAACCCTATTCCAGCGCTCGACGGCGCCGTTGCTTTCTGGGTGGTCGGGGGTTGAGAATCGAGGGCAGCAGCCGAGTCGCGCCAGAAACTCCCGCGTGAGCTGCGCAGTGAAGTTTGTTCCACAATCGGAACTAATCACACTCGGGATGCCCGTCCTGCTGAAGATAAAAAGCAGCGCATCGCAGGTCTCTTTCGCCGACAGTGACCGCAGGCACACTACCTCCGGCCAGCGAGTGCACAAATCGATAACGCAAAGTGCGTACCGGTGCCCTCTCGCGGACGGCGTGTCGAGCGGCCCGATCACATCAATGTTCACCTGTTGGAGTGGGAACTCGGGTCTTGTCAGCGGAATGATCGGTATGCGATCGCTCTTTCGTGGGTCGGACCTCAGCTGGCAACCATGGCAGCTCGAGCAGTGCAACCGGAGGTCGCCCTCGATTCCCGGCCAGTAGAAACTGTATTTGACTCGCACCTTAGTTTTCCGGAACCCCAGGTACCCTCCCCAGCATGACTCGTGGGCCAATATCATAACCTCGGGTCTCCGCTGAGCTGGAAGGACGAGCTGATAAAACTTTTGACCCAGCAGCTTGTCTTGGTGAAATAGCAACCCGTCTCTGATTAGCATACCGGCACGTCCCTTGCGGCCGTTTGCCCACGCTTCGCGCAAGGAGGGATCCCCCAGTTGTTGTTCGCGGAACTTCGACCGCTCTGCGAGCGCGTCCTCCGTTTCAGTCTCATCCGTCTGTGACAAAGAACTCGTCTCGGCGCCGTCCTCAGCTTCTGCTTCGCTACAGTCCCCTTTGGTTTCTACGCCTTCCCCGGGCTCCCCTGCAGGACTGCTAACCGCCGACGGCACCGCCTCCCCCACCGCCACGCTTGCCACGGTTCCGACCGGCGCGTCCGCGTTTATTGCTCCAAGGAGTGTCTCCCATGCCTCTCCGGAAAGTAGGCAGTCAGTGCGAGACGTGAGTCGGTCGGTCAATGCGCAGAGAATAGGCGCCGTTTCGCGAACTTCAGCAAAAGGAGAACCCCTGTCGAGGAAAGTTAAGGGCAGCAACACCAGACTCGCCTCCACAGATTCTCCGAAAGCAGATTGTAGGCAGATCTTGCCGCAAGGCGTCCTGAGCTCATCGGGCACCATGGCTTCCCTCACCACGGTTATGTCCGCTCCAGTGTCGAGAACGGCGTCGAGCTCGCGTCCCCCACAAGCCATTCGGGCCGATATCAGCCCACTGGGCGGCGGCGAGCGCGGCTCCGTGGTGACCTGAGCAGTGACCTTTTCAGTTTTAGATGGTGCCTTGCCGCTCCCGTTTGCCCGGCGACTCGTAGCGTGTGGACAGTCAGCTCGTAAGTGGTCCAAGGAGCCGCACCCGTAGCATTCTTTCCGCTGGCCCGTACCCAGTCTAGCGGCCGGACTTCGCGTGAATTTCGTCGTAGCCGCGGCTCCCCCGTTTTTTGCTCTGCCCGATCCCCATGAGTCCTCTGCGTCAACACTCTTTGACGCAGCGCCTCTACCCTTGGCCTGCTCGTAGAGCCTGATCAGCCGGCTCAGCTCCGGCGCCCTGTGCCAGCTAGGGTCCTCTTTCAGGGTGACGTAACTCAGCGCCCCAGGCGACATCCTTGCCTTCAACTGGTCAGCCACGAGAAGGTCAATTAATTCGTCTTTAGTCTGAATTCCCCTCGCTTCTAAGTAGAAGTGGAGATAGCTGCGCAGCCGCGTGGCGAATGGCATCCACGCCTCTTCCCTCCTTTTGGTGGCGTTAAGGAATCGTTTTTGGTACTCACCGGGCGCGAGCTGCAACTCTTCGAGTACGGTCTCCTTAACTCAAGCGTAGTCGTTGAGCTCCGCCGCGGTGAGTCGCGTGGCCAAATACCGAACTTTTTCAACCACGTGCGGGGATATCAACTGGCCCCATATAGCCCTCGGTACGCGATATGTCACGAAGATGGTCTCTACCGCCTCGAACCACACGGGCACCTCGGCTTCTGATGGGAATTTCTGAATGACGCCCGACAAAGCTTTAGAGAAATGTCGCAGGTCATCCTGCTCTCCACGTTCGCCTGTCTCCGCCGGTCTGCCCCCCTCGGCGCGGCGGTTGGCCGATCGAACGCGCTCGAGCTCCATTTCGAGCTCGAGAATTTTTATGCGCTCTCTCGCTTCCTCAAAGTTGAATTCACTTTGGCGCTCGCTCACCAACGTCGTGGTGCTCCCGCCTTCCCCCGACGTCCCTTCGCCGTCCATCGTCCCTCCGGTGCGTTTGTCCGGATTGAAATGTCCGAACCTCGTAATCATACGCCCTGCCCCGGCCTACTGCGACACGACCACTCCCCTTCCAAAAAGGGAAACAAGACTGAGCTTACTACTTTGCAGGTCCGCGTGGGGTCCGTGCCAATGTAGCTTGCTTGCTGGTCGTCCGTGCCGCCGGCTCGATGACTCCGTCGTGAACAGGCTGATCCCCGCAGGATCAGAGGTTCACCCGACGAGCGACTTGCCCTGGGACACGTACAGGACTCTGCTGGCCCTCGCCACCGGCTCCTCTGGCTCGGCTCCCAGGATCTCACTCGCTTAGACGCACAACTCCTTCGGTTCGTCAGGAACGCTTGACTCTCGTTCCCGAGACGTAGCTTCCCTCGGGACAGGTTCAGGACTCCGCTGGTCCTAGCCGCCGGCTGTGCTGGCGCGGGTTCCCGGGGTCACGTGATGGTCCGCCGTGGGCGCCGTTTTCTCGCCTGCACTTGAGTCTCCTTCGTGATCTTCAGTCGCCTCCGCAGTTTTCAAGACCATTCATGCCGACTGCGCCAGTAAATGTTGGTTCGTTCGTTGGTGGTGTACTTTGGTCCTGCCAAGTTTTGCAGGCCGATGGTCGTTGAAGTTCTCAGGAGGCGATGGAGACTTTGCGAGTTCTTTGGCGAACCGATTTATTTTACAAACTGTACAACTGTACAAAGTAGGGGAAGTTGGCATACTCGGATCGAACAGGTCTTACAGATGTCCAAATCAGTCCAAAATCGACCTCCCTCGCCCTGTCCGAGGCTTTTGAAGGCACTCACTACCTCGCCCTCAGGGAAGTCTTAACCAATGGTTTCAAACTTTTTCGAAGTCACGGGGCGTCAGCCCTCCAATGGTCAGCTGGGGGCCGACCCGGCCGTCAATCAAGTTCGCAACGGCCACGGCTGACAGCTCCGTAACATTGGCACAACCTTGGGTTCCAGACAGAGTGGCGCCACACCAGAACTCCTGGCCCGAAACTCGATCGTCGCCAGCGTACCCTGTGGGACGCTGGAGCACACAAGAAAACACGCGCACACACAAAACAAAACGTCCCCTTCGCGGAAGAGACAACGTCTTCGCCGCGGGGTGCCTGCTCGAGAGGACCGCGGTCACCCGTCGAAAGCAAAGAAAACAACGACAGCCAGGGTGCGTCCGCTTCCCCTCTTCCCCACACCCCCGCGCGGCCGTAATGAGGACCACCCGGTGAAGGGGTCCCTCGCGACTTCTTTACAGTAATTGACTACAAGTAATCAGTTAGTTGTAACTCATTGCGTACAAGTCTGGCTACAGCCCACGGGCGCTGCCCAAAAATTGAGGATATCCGGTTTGTTGTCTGCTATCAATATCAAGCGCGTACCCTCTCCCACTATTACTCCGCCAAACTCGGTGAAATGCCCGGTGGTAAAAAAATGGCGCCGCCCTGAGAGAACTTTAAGGAGTCAAAAATTTTAGACTGTTGTGATACTCTGCTTCGTAATCAGAGCTGTGGATCACCTTACTTCCATGGATTTTTGATCTCAAGTAATTCAGTGCACTCACTCAAAGAAAAGTGGTCTTGCCACTGTGTCTCCGAAGGCGTGACTGCGGTAGAAGAGTGTGTACAGGTAGGGCAGGAAGCAGTAGCGTATCTTGAGCGTCTTCTTGGCCGTCGCCACCACCTGACTTCCCATGGCCACGGGGTCTTGGTCCTAGGAGGCAGGGCGCGTCCGTGATAAGTTTCGTTAATGCGACCCATAAATTCACAAGTTTGGGACTTCAACTTCACGTGAATTGAATACCCTTGAAATCAAATTGCATTACATGGCCACGAATCCTACGTCTGCCCGTGATTGCTAGCCGCATTCACACTCAGGGGTCACATCTCATTATGAAGACGGTCTTGGTTTCCGGTTATTACCGAGTTTTGCTGCAGTCTCACCCACCTACTGGCAATAAGAAGATGGACCGGGGTAAGCTAGTGCCCGTAGTTCCTAAAAGGCAACTCTGGTCGATCAACAAAAAATTCGGGAATATGGCTGATTTCACACTGATGAGTACAAATGGTTGATTTCACACTGATGAGTACCTTCCACAAATAGTAAAACATGCTCGCTCGCAATCTTTATTTACCCATAATCAGAAACTGAAGTCGGTTTCTCCGACAGGTAACATTTGTGCCGCGTTGTCAGATGCACGGCTACGTACGTGGTAAGAAACCTGTCGCGCGATCTCGCATGCAACGAAACGAAAGGCTATAGCCGCGTACGCACGTAGAGCTATGCTGGTGCGACCTCTAGCTTTTCGTCCAAGGAAGTGAAAATAAGCAACAAGTAGTGTCTCTGATCCCAATGTTGGCTGCGCCAACACGTACCACGCAACTGACAGCGCACGGCGTCATGCGTGACGTCATATATGCATCCCGCCATCGTTAGTGGATTCCCGCCCAAGCGGCAGCCGCGCAGAGGATCGACGAAAGTTACCGCAAAGCGGCAGACGACTGCGTCTTGACGCCTCGTGATAACGTCGTGCTCGTTGTAAGACGTTCCATGACGTTCCACGACGCTCCACGAGGCGCTGTCGGCGATGCTGAGGCCGCCTAGACGGCGCGCTGCGTAGATCCGCTTGTAATGCCGTTGGGGGGAAAAGGCGAAGGCATTGTTTTTACGTGCTGGTGGCCGCAGTCACTCGATTCAGCTGACATTGCGAATCTCGAACTTTACCGGCTAAGGGTCCCGGCACCGATAACAGAAGCAAACAAGCTACAGGGTGTGGTCTCCGAAGAAAGCAGTATCATGGATAGTTTAGTCGACATGTGTATTGGGTAAACACAACAACATGGAGTTGTAGATAAGGGATATTTATTTCCGGGAAGCTCGCATTTGTTTTCCTTGAAAGACCACTCAAGTTTTTGGTTTTTCGGTTTCCGAGTGAAATATATTCTATGTGCCAAACATACTTTTCTCCAATAAACGCATATGATCAAATATTACCATATAAGGGCATTAAAGAGCCGTACAAGAGTATATAGGAAACTGTAAGAAACTGATAAGAAGTTTCTTATAACTACTCATATAATCCTACATTGTTCTTATATGTTCTTATAAGGTTCTTATATGCTGTTATATGATCTTATTTGATCACATTCGTTTACTGAACCCACATATTTCTAATACATACAAAATGTTTCACTAGGGTTTTCCGGTTAAATCCGTCTAAATAGGTAATATTACAAAGAAAATAAAAATAAAAACGCAGGCGTGTTGGTGAATGACATTGACAGTACATCCCGTGGGTAGAATTTCGTATTTTATTACTCCTTTTCTCAGGTTTACTATGAATGCAGGTAGTTATTTTCGATGTTTATTTTTGTTATTTAAGAGGGTAAACGTTTAGAAAATTTCAGGTATTTACTTTGCTAATTGTCACTTTGAACTCGTAACCTCACGTCCGTGGTAGTCTGTAACGTTCTGCAGGAACCTTTTCTTTTATTTAAATAAAAGAAATTATTCATGCAGAACGTCAGAATGTGTGGTGCGTGTTCGATGTTTCGGTCACAACTTCCAAGAAGCCTAATCCGCAGTTTTTACTGGCCACTCCGTCGTAACTGCGGTCACGAGTGCAGTCAAAAGAAAGTTTGAGTGCGTTGTGAATGTCGAGTTATGAAAACGTTACGTGCGTTGCCCTTTTAGTTACGGAGAGTCGCACATGTCAACTCTGGCTTACTGAAATAATATACTTGAATACATCTCTACCTAGAAATGGTGATTGGAAGGTATTTTTTAAGCTCACTGCTCCACTAGGGGAATATTTGAGGCTAATGGTTGGTCACAAGAGCTGTCAATCATCGTGCCCAAGGTCATTGAAACAATTTCGGCCAATGACTAGTCCTTATTTTTGAGCCATTTTTACCAATTAATGACAAAAATCTACAGAGATACGACTCGGGTCACCGCGAGCCGATAAGGGTCGCGTGGCCATTGAAAAGGCGCGCCCTACTCAGCTGTCTCAGTACGAAGTTTTCGACACTTTTTTTTTATTTCAGTGTGGTGGACACAGGACAGCCTACCAGAAAATTAATTAATTAATTTATTTAGTTTGAAGATCCTGCTATCCAACTTTAGAGGGCCAAGTCATAGCCATAGGCAGAACAATAAAAAACCCAGCAAAGCAAATATACAGACAAACATTGAGTAAAACGAGTAAGCAGTTTTGTCCTTGGAATCCAATCTAACGAAGAAAAGTTGACTATAATAAGCCCTGGAGAAGGGAAACAAAGGAAAAACAAAAATCTAGAAACACGGCTAGTGACTGGTGCGCGACCGACAAAATCCGCCTGGTCCGTATCGAACCAGGGGCCTATCCATTTCCACTGGAGCGCTCTACCAACTGAGCTAACCAGGAGTTAGGCGTCAGAAGAGCAAACAGGTTTTATCTGTCGCCACTAGTCTAACACCAACAAGGATGAACGGCCTGCATTTTAAGTTGATGTTGGAGATGAAATTAATGCAAAGGTGCAAGCGAGCTGGAAAAGAATGAACATTTTCGGTAGCGCGCCAGTCACGTAGCTGTGTTTGGAGATTTGTGTTTGTCCTTTGTCCCCCTCGTTCTCCTTCTCCGGGACTTATTATCGTCATTCTTGTCCAGTTCGCTTGCACCTTTGCACTAATTGAATTATCATCAAGAAAAGTTCATCACTTGCACTAGAAAATGCAGCAAAAGAGACGATACTACGGCATATTTTGACGACGAGCAACACATTTCTAATTGGTGTGTGCCAGCTGAAGCACATAGATAAAAAAATAAGTAGCGAGTTTTTAGGTCACTATTTGCTAATGAACACTTTAAACTCCATACTTGACATCCGCCGACGGGGTCGGTAACCTTATCTGGTGGAAATAACTTTCGGTCTTTGTTTTCATAGCCTCTTTTTTTTTTTAATTGTTTTCCTTTTTTAGAAAAGTCCCCTGTATACAGTGAACACGAACCCCTATATCCATTTCCCTTCGAAGTCTGACCGCAGCCGACGCTATGATCCACCTTAGCCAACCAAGCAGCGCCAAAAAATGCACCGTCACGGCGCTCGTCGTTTTCGAGCGCTTGCTCTCGCCGTCTAAGTCATCACGCCCACTGAACGCGCCGGGATTTTGCGCTTTTCTTTGCGCGTGATCTGTTCATCCGTGATCGTAGCAGGCAACCGCAAAAGAGGGCGTGCCAGACCGCAGATCAAGGTTTACTCGGATAGCAAGTCGTCTGCTTCTTGCGCAGGAGTTGCAGTGGCGTCGGAAAGAAGCCGAGCTCTGATTGGCTTTGATTGTAAAGATATTGGATAGACCTCAATGCTAGATGCCTCGAGGTCTACCCGCTATTTCTTTTTCGATCATCCAATAGGAGCTGGGCGTTCTGACATCATCGCAACCCGTGTGCAAGAAGCAGACGAACTTGCGCTCCGCATACCCGGACAGCGTCGTTCACGTTGCCTCTTAGTGCGCCGAGAGTGCCAAGAGAATTACCGTGGCGGCCATGGACGTGAAAGTGACGCCGAGTATAATTGTAACACGCAATAAGTCGGTACTCGACTCACGATGTTTCCCTTGGCGTTGTGGTTCCTCGCAAACGGATAGAAGGCGCCCAGGGCGTGCCAGCGGTTGCACAGCTCCACGGTGGTGTTGTCCCAGAAGCCGCAGATGTCCGAGCCGGTCAGCGGAACGCCAAGGATGTTGAAGGTGAGCATCGCTGCGGCCACACAAGTCCCCGCTCTTCGACATAAATGCGCTGTTACAACCGGCTGACTCTATTACGTCGATTATTGGGGCATCTTTAACCTGGCTCACGTCGAGACAATAGGTGTGTTTAAACACGAAATTTTACAGCGGAGCTGTTAAGGGCTAGTTTCTCCAGTGTCATGTCTGCGGGCAAACAAATCTTGACACAAAACTCCGGACAGCTACCACCATCTATGAGTGACGGTGGCAAACAGAAATCGGTGTGCCGGTTTTGTGGTTGCCGCCGTCACTCATAGATGGCGGCAACCTTTCCAGCCTTTCTACTCTCCCGAAGGAAAAATCCATCAATGTAACCCTGTTTGGCAGTCAATGTTTTCTAGTGGGCCGCTGACTGTGCCTGACTGTACGTCAAGCATATCTGACTGGCCAACAAGTTACTCTGACCGACCGTCAAACTCCAGTCAGACCCCGCTTGTCGGCTTTCTGATGGTTTCCTGGTGCAGTCGGCCGCCGCGAAATTCCGTCAAGATTTCTTGGTGGCGATTCTGATTGTACATCGATTGTCTCTGACTCTACGTCAAAAAGCTTTGACGTGCAGACAGACGTACGGTCAAAGGACGTAAAGTTCGTTCGGGTACCACTATTTCGTCAAATCTATGGATACGTAAATAATCTGTGCACGAGAAAACGATTTCGGGACGTGAGCCTATAAAACCGCTAATGTTAGAGATATGACAAGCAGGACACCCGACAACCCTGATCAGAAGCCCGCCGAAACGCCGAACCAGTGCGCCGAACACGCCCAACACGCCACCGACGCCACTTCTACTTTCGCTTCGTCCGTTGAGGTTCGCCGAGCTTCCACGCAGTGCGATCGCTCTCGACTCGTCTAGTTTGCCCACCGAAAAGCCGTGCCCACCGAAACGCCGAGCACGCCACTTTCAACTTTCGCTTCGAGGTTTCGGCGAGCTTCCATGTAGTTCGATCGCTCTCGACTCGTTTAGTTTGCCCACCGAAACGCCGAACACGCCACTTTCGCTTCGCCCATAGAGGCTTTGCCGAGCTTCCATGAAAGATCGCTCTCGACCCGTTTTGTTTGCCCGCCTGCTCTACAATGGCTTATGTTTTCGTGGAATTTCTTCTCGACAAGACCCAGTCCGTCGTGAGTTCCGACTACATAAGGAACTTTAGTGGCGTAGTTGAAGACGACAAGGTGTTCCAGGTATACTGGGCCGGAGACGCTCGAACGAAAGGAGGATTCTATCGACGCGAAAGTACTCTACATGGCAGGTGACTAGAACTGAAATACGGCGATTGATGTACGAGTGCTTGGTTTAACTGCATATACAGCCGAAGCACTCTTTAGAGCGATGCACTCATTGTCGGAACCTCGCGCTGCAAGACCGAAATGCTCTTGACTAGGTCCGAGAGGTTTAGGCTAAAAAATTTATACCTTTCTATCTGGTGTGGGCTATTGGCCTTACCGCTGCGTCGCACCTCATTATTATTGTTTCATGAAGAGCGCAGACAAAAAGCATCCGCGAGCGTAGTTCAGATATGTCTGCTGCTCGCGTTCGTCCGTGGAAGCCAGGGCTGCCTGTCGTAGCATGCATGCTTGCTCTCTAGCTTCAACGGAGTCGCATACGTTTTGTGAATTAAAGTGTATACGGTCGTCCCGAAAGGTTCATACATCGAGGGCGTTTCTCTGAACGATGCTTTAGGTGCACGTGGGCCCGTTTGTAAAGGAATGCCCCTTTTTCCTAAAAAACGCAAATTTCAAAAGTGAAAAAAAAAAAACAAGAAATAAGGACGGGTACACACTTTTTTATTTTTGATGTCATGAAGTACATTCATTTTAAGGCATTGTGAACCGTTTTATAGCCATGCAAGATGGCCACCTCGGCTTGTGGACCGTTTCATAGCAATCCAAGGTGGCCATCTCGGAATGCGAGCTTTTCTATAAATTCTGCCCTTGTTGATGAAATTCCCTTGTTCGAATTCAATATGAGCACCTGTCACCATTGCTGAGAAACCCTCAGCCCCGGCATTAGGTTCCAAATTATTATACCATTTTCGACCTTCTGGTCAAATGTTATATATTTTATTCGAAATTGAACGTGCGGTAATGACCCACAATGTAATATAAGATTGCACAATTTCAGACCCTGAAGAAGATGTAAGGAAATTTCGAATGGAGGGGAAGCGTCGTTTTTGTAAGAATCGATCAAGAGAAAAAAGAATGGTTTGTGCTTTTGCATTATCTCTGTATTCCAAGAAAGTTGTTGTGCACTCCTCTTAGGTTGAAAACCTTTTAGTGTTGCTATAGATTTGAATACCAGCTAGGTCAATAAATTTAAATTTAAATTAAAGCACACCTTCAAGCTAGTATGGTGCTTGCGTGCCTGGTGTATATAAAAAAACGCACACAACAAGCACGAAACTTTGTGATCGTTGATATTACATTGTAGTAAAATCTTCAAAATTTAACTGTGGCTATTATGCAAGGGTATACGTTAGGCAGCGATGTTCTAAAAACCTGCGTTTATTATTTGTGTTTTTACTTTAAATTCAAAAGTGAAAAAAAACTTCTCGTATAGGAAGAAAATATATAAATCCCCTGAATTAGGTATGACTGGGCTCCTTTATAGGTTTAATTTTATGTCAAATCTGTCAATTGCTTTCCATCCCAATGTAGGTACTGAACGTTTTGAGGCTGCCGTCTATAAATATTGCTAGATTAAATTTAACGGAGCTCATGAGTGGGCAATTAGGAACAACTTTCGCGAGTCCAGCAGAATTTTTGTTTAAGCATGGTGTAACAGTAGGAAAAGGCGTGGAGAAAGGTGCAAAAAACTCTTCAATATTCAATTCGAAATTATTCGGCCAAAACCACTGTTCACTTTGAATTTGCTTCAAACGCAAAATTTATTATTTGCAGATGCCTAACGAAGAGTTGTCGGGTCTTGTGAAAATGGTGCTCATATTGATTGCAATGAATAGCTATGTGCTCCGCTTAGCGGCGGGTTCTATGAACAACAGCAGGTTAAATACCTGCAAGGGGACTGTGAGACATATTAAACACAGAAGTGTCCGTTTGATGTCGAACTCGCGGCAATTACGTCACCGTGATACAAACTCTCAACAAAGTTGCCCACAACATCTTTTTACGTCAAACACAGATTGAAGACACCATCGGTACTCCCAATAGGTTAATTAAGACGTCTACAAAATTGCCGGCGTATGGTTGTTCAATCCGTAGATAAATATGTGTACAGGCCAGGTCGTCTAGGCATAAGACTAGTCTCTCTATGCTCCAGCAACTGCAGTTTTTTCTACGGGCTAACTTTTAAAGAGGTTGTATAAAATTGTTTGACTTGAAAGCTCAAGATTGTTTGCTCTCAAAGTGAGAATCTCTGCCCCAAAACCAGTTTTTACCTGCTACAAGATCTCCAAATCACCACTTATCAGTTCCACCATTTTAGTTCCCACTTGCTTTAACTTAATTTATTCTAACAGTGCGGTTTGTTTTACCTTTTCAGATCGAGCATCGCTCAAGGCAGGTGTTTTCCGTGACCTAATAAAGATACAACAGGTTTGACTTTGCATTTTACTTGTCATTTTATGGGCTGTTCTCCTCCAAGTTAACTTCCAGTGATCCTATGGCAGTCGAAAGTATGTAAAAGTTTCTCTGGCAACGCTGCAATCTGGTTAGCCTATCCTATCAGCTCAGCAGTGATCACAATCACATCTTCCATCAAGTATGTTCCATCAAAGACCACCACATACGAAATTTGGGACATTCCATCAGTGGCAGTCGGACGTCATCTGATGGACCGTCAGGGCGCGTTCCACCAGGGCTGCTGACTGGCAGTCAGTGTCCCAAATTACGTATCTTGATGGAATTTTCAATAGGGCTGGTTTTTACTAGAGTAGAAAGGCCCAATTTCTCTAGGCATCGTCCTAGAAGTCGTCCTCGAAGACGACGCGTAGAGGACGACGTCCTCTAGGTGACGTCTTCGAGGTCGTCGTAAACGTTGTTCTTGAGGTCGTCCTAGACGTCGCCCTTGAGATCGTCCGAGAGGTTGTCCTCGAGGGCGTCCTAGAAGTCGCCCTTGAGGTCGTCCTAGAGTTCGTACTTGAGGTCGTTCTAGAATTCGTCCTTGAGGTCGCCCTAAAAGTCGCCCTCGAAGTCGTCCTAAAATTTGTTCTTGAGGTCGTCCTAGACGTTATACTCTAGGCATCATGCTTGAGGTCGTCCAAAAGTCGTCCTTAAGGTCGCCCTAGACGTTGTCCTCGAGTTCGTCCTAGAAGTTGCCCTCGAGGTCGTCCAAGGAGTCGTCCTTAAGGTCGTCCTAGACGTTGTCGTCGAGGTCGTCCAAGAAGTCGCCCTCGAGGTCGTCCTAGAATTTGTCCTTGAGGTCGGCCTAGACGTCGTCCTCTAGGTATCATGCCTGAGGTCGTCCAAGAAGTCGTCCTTAAGGTCGTTATAGACGATGTCCTCCAGGGCCCGTTTGCTCGAAGCGCTAACCGCGGCTAAAGTTAGCCGCAGTACCTAGGAAAGGGATTTTGAAATCACGTGATTGAGGGCTCGGTAGGGATGCGCGGGGAAACATGGCGGTGCCCCAGTGAGTGAGCGCCGCTCGCTTTGGAAGTAATATGTCGTTGTAGCTGCAATATCGTGCGCGTTAGTCAGCAACGAATGGTGCAGGAGGTTTTCGCTTTGCCTTACCTCACTTAAATTGCAAAGCATGGGCGATGACATCGCCGCATTTTTTATATAGTGTTTCGATTCTGGCCATTCCTAAGCCTAAATGAACGCGATAATTGTCGGCATGGCAACGTCTTTGGAAAGCGGATTGCCTTGACTCAATCGGGCGGGTATTGATAGCACAAAAGCAGACAGCGTCCCAACGGACGTTTTCCTAGATTATCCAAGCGTCGCGAGGAAAACGCTGGAAGTGTAATTCTACGGTCCGCGCGCGCTGGCCATCCTCTTATAAAAGATTCGAA